GCTTGCTGCCTCACTTCAAGTTGAGTAAGAAATCCTACCCATCAACAAAAAGAAAGAAAAAGGGAAAGATATGGTCAAATGTTCCATAACTTCAGCTTGTTCGGAAGTTTGATTTGTACGCAATGGTGGTGTACGAGACTAGATATCGCTCTGCAGTTGGAGTCGTGGAGCCTATTTTTTGTCAAATCCCAGAAAACACATTGGGAAGCAGTGAGTGGATTTTCAGATACCTGAGAGAACTTCAAAGGTTATGTTTAACTTTTTGGAGGTGAAAAGACTGCACTTGTTGCTACACAGATGCAGATATGCGCGGGTGATCTTGAGAAAGAAAATCTACATCATGATATCTATTTACCATTCTCCAGGGGGAGCTATTTCATGGCAATCAAAAGATTACAAATATGTGTTTTTGTTTATCAACGACCGAAGCACAACGACCGAAGCAGAGTACGTTGCAGCAATGGAAGCAGGAAAGGAAATGCTTTGGTTCAAGCGATTCTTTCAAGAATTGGGTGTGCAACAGGAAGAATATATAGTTTATTGTGATAGTCAAAGTGCGTTAGACTTAAGCAAAAATATTATGTATCATGCACGAACGAAGCACATTGATATAAGATATCATTGGCTTAGACTTGCCCTTGAAGAGAACCAGTTCCAGTTGCGAAAAATCCACATAGACAGAAATGCTGCGGATATACTGACAAAGGTCGTTCCGAAAGAGAAGTTCGAACTGTGTGTAAAAGCGGTAGGAATGGAGAGTCCCACCATGTAGTCGGGAGGGGGAGAATTGTTGTGGGATCCCTCCAAGATGTGGGACCCACACAAGTTTGAAGAAAGAAAAAAAAAAAAGCAACAAACACGTTTTGTTTTGGGCAGTCAATGAAGGCTGTGAAAGAAAGAGAAAAATGTGTTATTTGAAAAAGAAGAAAAGTTGGCAATCTTCTTTGACAAAGTATAAAGATGTGAATGAGTTATACACGACTCATTGGAAATATACAAAAAAAATGTTAGAGCAAATACTTTCTATGCACAAAGTATAAAGGATGTGATATAATTAGTTATACACGACTCATTCCACTGAAATCTGGCCTATAAAAAAGAGCAGACGAATGTTGCATGTAAATGAAAATTCTAAAACCAAATAAAGATTAGGAAATACACAATTAATGCGAGTGTTACAAGCAAATCTTAGGAAAGGGTTCCCTATATATTAAGGGAATAGAGAGAAAATAGTGAGGATTATAATTCTTTCTCGGCACTCTCTGGGGAACACTTAGAGGCTACCAACTATTTTTTGTAATCTCTTTTGTACCTCAGCTATTAATATTAGTAGTGGAAGCATTATTGCGGCTTATTGCACAGTTTTAATGTACCCAGTGGGATAGGGCCTAGCCCGAAATAGACAAGTGACAGGTCATATACCTACGTATATCTCGGTGTCCTTACTTTTTCACCTCTGGTCATTATACAGTAAACTAGTTTAATTTCTTACCTTGGAATTAATATATTTTCTCATGGGAATCGATGCATCGTGCGAGTCGTTAATATTCCGAATACAGTAATTATTATAACATTTTTTTACGGGCTCACTCAAAAATCAGTTATTTTTCATCTGGCATTTACAGTAATTATTTAATTTTTACCGTGGTTATTATTTCTGGTGAATTCGATCGTTAATATCCAATACGTAATTATTATAACATTTTTTTACGGGCCTCACTCAAAATCAGTTATAATCCCAACAAAAACTTATTCAGAATGACCTGTAGATTTAGTTTTGTTCTCTCACAACTTTGGTTTTTCAACTTCTATTGACTTACAATACTTTGACAAGTGACTGTGACATTAGTTTGTATTGTTGTGTGAAAGGTAAAAAATAAGAAGAGGAAATTAAAGAAATGAGCATTTATGATCAAATATTCAAATTTTGAAGTTGTGGTTTTAGAATTTGCATAATTGTTTATTGTAGTAGTTGAGCTAATTTACTGACTTTTGAGACTGCAAAATTATGATGTTCATCAATAGTGTTTGTCTGTGACAGATTTCCTTTTTATGTTATATCTATTAGTTTATTATCCACTTGATTTACTTTTTTGCCTTTAATTTTTCTATTCCTTTTCTTCTTCCCCCGTAAGTAGAGCTGTGGAAACAAGATGAAGTGATATCTGCACTATGCTAACTAATCATTAATCAACCAATAACTTTCTAGGATTCCTGTCAGCATATCTAACAGGGTAAATTACTTTCTAACACCCCTGAGCTTGCCATAATTAGCACATTGGTCCCTGCCGTTTTAAAATTAGCATTTTCAGTACTTGAAATAAATTATGAATTTTTCACTACAGTTTAATCTTCATTTACCCTCTTGCTGATTTTCAAATTATGCATAATTTTGCTGGGTTTTGGCTTTATTCCACTTTTTAGGGCCATTAAAGATAAAGGAGCATACATTAAATGTTCTTGACTCCTTGTGTCATTTTTCATGTGCTCATTTTCTGAAATTGCAGTTATTGTTGGTAGTGGATTAGTGGGGTCAGTTGGTGCCCCTACTTGTGCTTATTTTGGGCCTTATATAAATAAATTGCCTCACTATGTTTATCTGCATAATCTGTTTACATTTACAATTATATTTTCAGTATGATATCAACTGTTAATAAGTTTTTGAGCAATGTTAAATTGCTCAAATTGAGTTTAACTTAACTAGAATTTTTATAAATAAAATATTCATAGTGTCTTTAATAATTTTTTTTTGGTTAGATAAGAGATATTAAATTTGAATTTTAAATTCACACTCTCTCTCTTAATTTAATTATGAGAATATGACAAAACTCCAAATCCCAAATAAAGTGCTTCTCGACACAAAAAACCATTGCATTTTTCCCTTCTATATTCCATCATTTCTCACCCTCATGCAATATGGGGGCACCTAAGTAAACGTACATTAGAAGATTCATGTTGTGTCAAACACAATTTGAGCCAAACATCTTTATTATACGCTGGCATTAAGCGTTTGTTCACTTGTATTGGACTTAATACAAGTTGTGTTAAAAATATTTTCGATGTCAGAAATCATCAATTGCCCAATTTTATAAGGACTAGGGAGTAAACATTTAAACATTCGTAACATCTGAGGTTACCATTTGGCTTTACCAAAAAAGTTCATGTGTAAATAATCAAACAGGAAAATTTGTTAAAGGTACTCTCTGGGAAGTCTAAATACTTTTTGTTATGTTTCTAAGGTAGTTTTATTTTTACTTAATAATGCCTAAGGTTGAGTATGCAATTTGTGATTTATTTTTTACTCATTGCTCGTTGGTGCTATGTTATTTCCTTATTGGGAGACTCTTTAGTCTTATACTTAGCTTATAATTCTTTTGAATCTTTTGTCAAATCATAATAAATCACAGTATGTAATGATAAAAATTTGATTAAATCTTATAATGTAATTTTTTTTCTCTCATTTTATTGATTAATATTTGAATTTTGTGCAAAATTATGTGGAATCATTCTTGTTTTTTATGATCTTCTAGCCTTTTTTTTTTTCTTTTAATAATCTCGTTCTTTGGCTTTGAAATAAAGAATGATATATTAACTAATAGGGTATAAAAAACTTTTAAAAATTAGATGGAGAAATCATTTATGTCGATGGATGCAACCGGATATTGGTTTGAAAAGTAGTACTACTTGGATAATTTCATCAAATTTCAAGAATCATGTAATTATTTTCTCTTTATTTGATTTAATTGTACAAGTATTTTTTTTTTAGAAATTTGAATTAATTTGATTTGAATGTTTCAATTAATTTAAAAATTTTATTTTAATTTGATTTAATTTCTTATTAAAAATTTTGATTATCACAATATCATAAAAATTCAAAATAGTATAAAGCAGAAAGTTGAGAGTCAAAGTTCACTTTGATGACCAGATTTGAGCCCCGCGCGTGCATACAAAAATTAAAAAGTGGGCTCCACTACCAATGACAAAAAATTTGTATTCTTAGGCCTTTTCCTTTTCCGTTTTTCCTTTTCTTTTGTCTTTATTTTCCATTTCAAAATTATATTTTATCTTATTCAAAATTACACATTCCTCGTCATCCTCTGACTTTCAGCTTTTTCCGAGCGTTTTATGGTTTTAATTAATTAATTAATCATACTAGAAATCCAGCGTGGATATTTGGTTATTGAATCTTTTTCCTTTTTTAAATTTTACCTTACTGAACAAAGTTTTTTCTTTATTGTCTTATGTAATCACTTAATTGTTATTTTTTTATTATTTTTTTTTTTCATAATCCTCATCTTTTAGGAAACAATACTTAAAAATATTATCAATCTAATTACTAACCCTACTCTTATTTTTACCAATTGTACAATACTATTTATTTATATTTTTTTTCAGTAAAAAATTACTCAGACTCTTAAATTTGCCAATTGTCAATATTAAATTTCTTAAAATTTTTAAGTGCATATAATTTATATATAGATAAGTCTTTTCCATTTTTAAAAGCCACTATGATCTAAATGTCCATTCTTTATATTATTTTAAAATCGATTTTTACCATTAATTTATTATATTTCACATCAAGATACTGTCAATTTAAAGATATTCATACTCTCCCCCTCGGGAAAAAAAAAATCATACTCTCATTTTTATGGTCATTATATTTTTCTCCGATAAAAACACACAGCTATCAATATAGGCAAATCTTTTTTCCATTTTTAAATGGTGAAATAATATTGTTTTTTTATTGAAAAATCCAACGAGATAATTTGACTTTCCGCTCTATATAAATAAGTGGAAAGACCGATCGCATAAAAATTTTTAGCTAACATTTCAATCTTCCTTTTTATATAATAGATATTAACTAGTAATCTCTTATCCTGTTTTTTGAGGGTACTAATCTATTATACTTTACATCAACGGTAAAGCCAAAAAAATTCTTTATTATATAAAAAATACTTCTCCATATATTCTTTTGACTTATTTGATTCTGAGTTTCTTTCTTATCGGTTACCAATCTTTGGAAGATACCGAATGAATCTTTTTCAAAAACTTAAACATTAGCATTTGTTATTTTCGCAATATATCTCTCTGTAAAAGATCCTTACCCCAGTAGTATCTGCTAGCCCGCAGCAACTTCTCAACGTCTCTCTTTCCGTCTGAGTAGGCTGTATATAAGTATACATGCATACGGTAAATTCTATATGTAAAAAATTTCAGATCTTGGCTATGAGTACAATGAAGAGGCAGCCTTTTAGTTAAAGCAAGCTTCAGAATTCACGTGCCTGTTGAATCAGAATTTGTTTCATAATAGCAGATAAAGTACTTAACACACATATACATTGCATGCATACAGTTTTATCAGTATCAGGAATTCGCTCTTTTTCTCATTCCATTTTTGACTCTTCTCTGGGTTTTTCTGTTTTATGGTACATATAAATTATTACACATAGAGGAGTTTTTTTTTTTTTGGAATGGATAAAGGGTGTGGGTCTTCTACGACTGTAATTATCATGGGGTTTCGTGAGATGGGTAAGTGCTGGTTTAATGTGGCTTTGAGTGGTGTGTTGTCTTTTGGGTTTTTGGTGAGTTTTGTGGTGGAGGGTTACCCAATTAAGGATCTGGTGGTGAATTTGCCTGGCCAACCAAAAGTTGCGTTTAGGCAATTTTCTGGGTACGTTGATGTGGATGTCAAGAATGGGAGAAGCTTGTTTTACTATTTCGTTGAGGCTGATAAGGACCCTGACAAGAAACCCCTTACACTTTGGCTCAATGGAGGTTAGTCTTGCTTCTTTTTCTTTCTCTGGTTAAATTTTTTTATATACTTTTGATTAATTATAGTGTTTGTTGGCTGTTTTGTCTGGGAAATGGTTAATGAGATTCTTCTATTTTATTTCTTTTCACTAACTTTATAGTTCTAGGTGTTTTCTTTCTTTTCTTTTTGTCTCTTTTTTTTTTTTTTTTTACTCATGGCGGTTTTCGTGAGGATGAGAGCTATATATGACATGGAGATCTAAATAGATGGCTATTTGAGTAGGACCTCTTAAATAAATAGTGTTGTCTCCTTAAGGAATTTTGGTGAGTGTGCTAAGTTGAAAATATCTGAGTGAAGTAGGTTATCCCCATTAATTATAGATTTGATCTGGTGTCCTGTGATTAACTTTCTTATCAAGCTGGTCGCTATATCCAAAAGTTGCGTTTAGGCAATTTTCGGGTACATTGATGTGGTATATACTCTCGAAGAATGGAGAACTTGTTTTTCCTAATTATCGATTGGAGCTGATGAAGGACCCTTGACAAGAAAAACCCCTTCACTACTTTGGCTCGAATGGAGGATTAGTCTTAGCCTAATTCTTTTTCTTCTCTGGTGAAAATTTTTTTCTTATGTATACTTTTGATTACACTCATATATAAGTGTCTCTGATGGTTTTGTCTGGAAATGGCTCACAATGAGGAGAATTTACTTACTAATTTTTATTTCTTTTCGAACGTACACTTATACTTGCTAAGTTAATATTTCTTATCTTTTATATTTATATTAGTACGGTCTTTTTTTTTCTTTTTTTACGTGCTTGTTGTTATTGTGGGAGTTTGTGTTTCTATCTTTGCCTTCTTCTAAGTTGGAGATTCATTTTCTCTTTCCTCTTCTTCTTTTTCCTTTTTTTTTCTCCAAAAGACAAATGGTGCAATTTTCTCAAATTCTGAAAATATATATTCTATGGAGAAACATTAATTATACATAGATTTAAATATAGCTATAATCTTTATCTCCTTCATCATTGAAAATACATAGCTTTGCTTTTGTACAATATGCTAGAATATGAAATATCTAATACCTGAAATATACAAGAGCGTAAATTTCTTCTACTGATTCTCCATGTAAATGTAGCTTTGTTATTCAAAATAAAAAACTTGCTTTGCATTGCTCTCCCATGTTATTTCTGCCACAAATTCCTCTGCTTAATTGAGATACACTGCAGAAGAATTTTGCGAAAAGTACATCGCAAAAATTCTTGCAATTTCCAAAAATTTTAATAGGCTACGATGAATTTTATTCAAAAAATTAGCATGAAACGAGCCATATTTCAAGCAAGCAATCATGTATTTTACTGCTTTTGTGGGTAACATTATTCCGTGGCCTCTAAAGATTTAATGTTTTAAAAAAATTGCTCATCTTTTATGAAAAAACTAAGTTCTTTATAAATGACATGGGTATACTCCTGTAATTCTATATCATAATATGCGCTAGGAAGAATAGGATTCTATGTCTTTTTTTTTTTTTTTTTTTACTGTGCTTGTTTGTATTGTTGGGTTTGTCTTTCTATTTTGCCTTCTTTCTAAGTTGGAGATTCATTTTCTCTTTCCTCTTCTTTCTTTTTCCTTTTTTTTTCTCCAAAACAAATGGAATGCCAAATTCTGAATTTTGTTCTATGGAACATTAATTTACATGTTTAATATGCTATAATCTTTATCTAATTCTCTTGAATAATTAGGTTTGCTTTGTACATTTAGAAGAAACTAACTTGAAATTCAAAGAAAATTCTTCTCTGATTCCATGAAAGTAGCTTTGTTTCAAAATTTGCTTTGCATTTACTTCTTTATTTCTGCACAAATTCTCTGCTTAATTGAGATACACTGCAGAAGAATTTTGCCGAAAGTACATCGCAAAAAATTCTTGCAATTTCCAAAATTTTAATGGTACATTGAATTTTATTCAAAATTAGCCATGAAACAGCCATATTCAAACCAAAGATCATTATTTTACTGCTTTTGTGGTAAATCCTGGCAAAGATAATTGTTTTAAAAAAAATGCCTCTCTTTTATGAAAAACTAGTTCTTTTAAAATACATGGGTATACTCCTGTAATTCTAATTATAGGAGGAGAAGGATTCATTTGTCAACAATTAACAGTGACATTCCATGCTCAGGTCCTGGTTGTTCCTCCATTGGTGGAGGTGCATTCACAGAATTGGGCCCTTTTTATCCTAAAGGGGATGGTAGAGGCCTTCGAAGAAATTCAATGTCCTGGAACAGAGGTAGCATAAAGCTAGCTAACAATTCAATTGGAGTATCTATTGTTAATGCTTTCAATTTGCACTTACTTTCTGTTTTCAAATTTTTGCAGCATCAAACCTCCTCTTTGTTGAGTCTCCTGCAGGAGTAGGATGGTCATACTCAAATACAAGTACTGATTACACTACAGGGGATGCCAAAACTGGTATAAGAAATATTTTAATAACTGCATTAATTTCATTTCAACTTATTTGTGTGATTAAAGAAATATATGAGTATGATGAGATGCAGATATAATGGTTTTTGGCTTATGGTTTATAATTTGATTGATCTAAGATTCTAAGTATCATTTCTTATTCTTTGCAGCCAAGGATATGCATATGTTCTTATTAAAATGGTACGAGAAGTTCCCAGAATTTAAATCACGTGAACTATTTCTTACAGGGGAGAGCTATGCAGGTGTGACAGAGAGCATTGGCATTTCATTTTTTTTTTCCCTTTTTCTATCTCTTTTACTCTCGAGGAAAAGTATTTCCAAAAGCAACTTTAACTTCATTTTTTAAAAAGAAGAATAGGTTATTGAAGAAGTTAGAAGTTAAGTTCATGACAACTACTTTTGGTGAAGGAGAGACAAGAAGTTCTAAAGTTTTCCATGAAATGCAACTTTACTTATTGTACCATTTCTTCATTCCACTGCCAACATAATTACATTTGTGACCATTCCTTCTTACATCAGTTTTAGTAGATACCTTATGTGGATGAGTATTTTCATGTAGGGCATTACATTCCACAGCTGGCTGAGGTTCTTCTGGATCATAATTCACATTCAAAGGGTTTCAAGTTTAATATTAAAGGAGTTGCTGTAAGGGAAACTTAATTGCATTTTCTAGTGATTCTATGGTATCTTGTGCTTCTTATATATAGATGTATATTTTTTGAGCTATCGTTTACCTGTTCTCCCTGGTTCCGTTTGCTTCTTGTTAGATTGGTAACCCACTCCTTAGACTTGATCGGGATATTCCAGCAACATATGAATTCTTTTGGTCTCATGGGATGATCTCTGATGAGATTGGCCTCAAGGTCATGAATGAATGTCAATTTGATGACTACATCTTTGCAAATCCACATAATGTAACAGAGTCATGCAATGAAGCCATAGAGCAGGCATATAATATAGTTGGTGAATACGTAAATAATTATGATGTGATTCTGGACGTTTGTTATCCATCTATAGTTCAGCAAGAATTGCGATTGAGGAAACTGGTATGCTCTCTTTTATCATCTACTTTCTTGCATTATCATTCCTGAATGGAAGTTCATATTCGTGATCCACCCATTCATTAAAATTTTCATTTTAAAAATTATGCAGGCAACCAAATTAAGTGTCGGAGTTGATGTGTGTATGACCTATGAAAGAGCTTTCTATTTCAACCTGCCTGCTGTTCAGAAGGCTCTTCATGCTAATCGAACTAACTTACCATATAGATGGACCATGTGCAGTAGGTAAGAGAAATACTTGAATTGTGCTTGTAAGCAGCTTAAGGAGAAAAGGGTATCTTAAAGCAAATAACTTTTTTACTCCCTTAGTTTAATAATCTAACCTCTGTTATTGCTATTTCAACTTGTCGGACATCTCATACAGTAACTTCTAAGTAAAGTCTACTACTGACTTTTTAGTGATGTTACTTATGGCAAACAATACAAGTCTTTGTTTAGGTTTGGCGTAATATCAAAATTGTCTCATTAATATATATGCATATTGATTCACAGCGTAACTAATTTTTGCATCTTGGTTCATTGGACAGTGTTTTAGATTACAGTGATACCGATGGTAATGAGGACATACTTCCCATTCTCAAAAAGATTATTCAAAATGATATTCCAGTTTGGGTGTTCAGGTAAGTTCTATATTGTACAGGATGTATAAATTGCATGCGTCTTCTGTATTATTACGTAGCTCGTTCATCAACATGAATATTAGTGAATTAATCAATGCAGTGGTGATCAAGATTCTGTGGTACCCCTTTTGGGCTCAAGAACACTTGTCCGCGAACTAGCTCATGATCTAAACTTCAAGATCACAGTCCCTTATGGAGCTTGGTTTCACAAAGGCCAGGTACTTGGGCACTAGTGCAATTTCACTGTTTTTCCTTTTTGCATTTGCCTATTTATTAAATGTCCTGCTGTTCTCTGTTTTTCTCACGTTGAACAGGTTGGAGGTTGGGCAACAGAATATGGAAATTTATTGACTTTTGCCACAGTAAGGGGTGCTGCTCATATGGTACCTTATGCACAGCCATCGAGAGCTTTGCATCTATTCAGCTCGTTTGTGCGTGGCCGGAGATTGCCTAATAGGACACATATTTCGATAGACGATTAAGAATTGTTCCATCATTTGTTACAGCATGATAAAGTTTCATGTTCTTTAATATATCACAATTCTGAAAACAATAAGAGGAAGTGATAAGGGGGTCTCAATCAATAATAATATTTGAAAGAGGAGGGATTTTCAATTTTAGTTAGGGATTTTATCTTGATTTAGTTTCTGGTGCTTGTATCTAATTGAAATGGGAAGATCATACTCATAATGGATTTGATAAGAGTTAAACTGTAGTTTCCAGTTTTCCAGTTTCATAGTCTAGTTAAGATAATGTTTGAATTGAACTGAAGGATAGGAAGTTTCTGCTTTAGCTTCAAGAACATCCTTTTCCAAGTTATTATTGAGTTTGTGCATTTCAAGCTTGTTTCCTTTGTCAAATATGATGTGCCTGGATTTCGATTAGCATGGTAATACAATTCTTATTCTCTCACTACACAATCAACTATTGGATTGAGGAGATTGAAATCCATACAAATTATTTGTCAAAATTCATCAAATAGAAAATGAAGCTTTTTTATTCAATGGGAAGCCATGGGGCTGAAAGGACATTATAGACTATACAATAAAGATAAGGATAACCTGTTTCTTTATTCGCCAAATTATCAAATTGGTGAAGATTATTCTTATAATTGAGATATCTCATTCGGCCAATGAGAAGACTGATCAAATTATATTTGTTTTGACAAACCTAATTTTATGAAATGTTAATTAATAATTAACAAAAAAAAAAAAAAAAAAAAAATTCGGCCAATTTGAGAAGACTTATAAATGTATAGTTTGTTTTTGACAAACCTAGATTTTATGAAATGTTAATTAATAATTGAACAAAAAAAAAAAAAAAAAAAAAAAAAAAAAAAGGAATATAGAGCTTTGTTTGGAATCATATATGTACAGAATCATAGATGTAAAGTTCATTTGTAAATGAATTTTAAGTGTAATTCATTTTTATAAATGAATTTCTCATAATTGGTATTGCTATAATTTAATATAAGAAATTCAATTGAATGTTATAAAATTATGTTTAAAATAAATTCTTAATAAAAATTCATTTGTTTTTATTTCCCTCGACATATAATTTAACAAACACCAATTATATTTTATTATATCAAATATAATAATCTAGTTTTTTTTATTTAAATATAAATAAATACACTCACATTCCACCCTTATCAATTAGTTAATCATATATATATATATATAGGATTTCGTGATATATATTATAGTTACAAAATTTTCGATAATAGTTGTAACTAAATTAAATTTTATGCGACTAAGAGTACAATTTTAATATATGATAATTTATTAGGGCACATTTAATAAATTTAATCAAATTTAATTATGCCATTTATTGAATATTAGTTTACGTGGCATAATTAAAAAAAATATGAAAGTATTGTTTTTAACCTATCCGACACTTATTATTATTATTATTATTATTATTATTATACCAGAGCATAAGAAGTTTCAATAATTGTTTCCAAATACAAGAATAAAAAAGATGCAGATAAGTTTCAACTAATTGTTTCCAAATACAAAAATATTATTATTATTATTATTATTATTATACCAGAGCATAAGAAGTTTCAATAATTGTTTCCAAATACAAGAATAAAAAAGATGCCAAAAGCAAACAAATAAAAATTTACTCTCAATAGTTAATTCAAGTAAATTAAAATATAATCCCTCAAAACAAAAAATAAATTAAAAGGCCTAACCAATAATTTCACCGCAAATTTTATGAGTAGTTATAATTTCACTTAAATCGACTTTTGTACTCTGGACATTTTAAACTTAATTATATCATAATTTTATTAATTGCACCCTAAAAATGAATTACAATACCTTAAACTCGTCGATTTGTTGTAATTAAAACCTAAGAATAAACTAAAGTTGAAATTTTGATTAAAATAATATAAAAAATGGACTTTATAACCAATATAAGTGTTTTAAACAATAAATAATAAAATCAAACCCAAGTATTTATATAATAAACAAAAAAAATCAAGATTGTGTCTTTGATTTTAAAATTAAACTAATTTTAAAATGTAAAAATAATGACTTGGATACTAATGAAGGTTAGACTTGTTAGGACGACGAACAAATATGTTGATTCTTAAACAGTGCCGTTGTAGCCAATATTTAATTTCCTACAAGAGAAGAAAAATAATAAATTGAGGGTCAAAAGAGGCAAAATGATAAATTCTTTCTTTTAATTCAAATATTATATATTGCATCAAACTAAGTTTGGATTGACTATCAAGTCCATTTTATATTATTTTAATTATAATTTCAACTTTAATTTGTTTTTAGGGTGAATTGCAACAAATTAATAAATTTAGGATGCTCTAATTCACTTTTCGAATGCAATTGCATCTTAAAAATAAATCAGGGCGTAATTCCAATTAAGTTAATAAATTTACAGTGAAATTTGTTAGTTAGACCTAAATTAAAATATAGGTTGTTTCCTGACGTGGATTTACTACTTTTAGGCATATACACAATTATTTACTAAAACTATATTGTTTTAGAGAAATATTATTTTTAAAGCATTTTTCTTTTTTTTTTTCAATAATAAACGATGGGTGTACTTATGTTTTTCTAAAAAAAATTTAAATTTCATATGGTTTTTAATTTTGGATAAAATTAACGAGTTAAATAAGTAAATAATTGAAAAGCTCATTTTAGAGGAAGATGATGATTTTATCATAAAAAAAGTCGGATTATTTAATTTCTTAAAATTTATTTATAAATTTCATCTATTTTTGGGAATTTATTAATTCTGTCAAATTTTATAAAATGCATTTATTTCAAATAAAATGTAAAGTTATAAATAAAAAATTTATAGCTTCAATTAATATTTTAAAAATAAAATTAAAATGATTTAAATTCTCATTAATAAAAAATAATTAGCTAATATATGAAAGCATTGACATGTATGATCTGTTAATAGACTCAATTGGAGTCCCCTATAAAAACAATGACTTGAGATTTCTTGTGAACTTTTTTTTAAAAAAAAAAATCAAATTAAGGTGTAAATACAAGAAATATATGAATTCCTATCATTTAAATAAGAATCATCACCTGTTTTCGCAATGACAATGCATGGTTGTCGTTGAGAAAAAAGAGTAGAAAAGACAAAAGAAAAAAGAAAATCACCTCTTGGAATTTTAATTAGGGTTAATTGTAATAATCCTCCTCTTAATTTTCCTATGGAGCATATAATTGACTCACAAATCAAAATTTATCTATGCTTGATCATTGGCCAGCGGCTGAATAGTTGCTGCATGAATTAGCTTCGGGAGTTCTGCTCGTTCGTTCTCATCGCTCATAAGGCATATTCCAATCGTCTCTATTCTCAACTGTACCATTTTATTTCACTAACTGAATTGACGAAGTCATGTTAGAATCATCCCAGTGTCAATGCCTCTCAAATTCTTCTTCAGAACGTCTCCCACCTCAAACCCACATTCTTGCCACTTCAAACTCACATTTTCTACCATTCCATACGACTCTGCTCACTTTAATCAAAATCCTAAGCTCCAAACATACACCAGTATCTTGCAGGCCTGCCTGCGGAAATGTAATCAGGTCAAAACCCACCACGTGTTCGATGAAACGACTCAAAGACTATCGCTTTTTTCAAAAAATAGCAGAATTATCCATGCGCAAAGCTTAAAACTTGGGTTTTGTTCAAAAGGGTCTCTAGGAAATGTCATCCTTGACCTTTACGCTAAGTGTGGCAATGTGGATTTTGCTGAGAAGGTGTTTAATAGGCTTGAAAATAAGGAGATATTGGCTTGCAACTCTATGCTGTCAATGTATTCTAAATATGGATTTCTGGATATGGTTGTCAAGTCTTATAGCTCATTGTGGAGTCGTGGGGTGTGGCCTAATGAGTTCACTTTTGCTATTGTTTTATCGGCTTGTGGGAGATTGGAGAGTGTTAAAAGTGGTCGACTAGTTCATTGTAATGTTGTTAAAATGGGCCTTGAGTCGAGTTCTTTTTGTGAGGGTGCTCTTATTGATATGTATGCTAAGTGCAATAGCATGAATGACTGTAGAAGGGTATTTGATGGAGGAGTGGATTTGGATACAGTTTCTTGGACATCAATGATGGCTGGCTATGTTAAAGCTGGTTTGCCTGAGGAAGCATTAAAAGTCTTTGATGAGATGAAGAAAGTTGGCCGCAAACCTGATCAGGTGGCATTTGTTACTGTTATAAATGCATGTGTCGGTCTAGGAAGGCTTGATGATGCATCTGATTTATTCTCCCAGATGCCTAACCCCAATGTTGTGGCATGGAATGTGATGATTTCAGGGCATGCTCAGAGAGGTTACGAGGTGAAAGCTATTGAGATTTTTCATAATATGAGAAAATATGGTGTTAAATCCACAAGATCCACATTAGGAAGTGTACTGAGTGCAATTGCAAGTTTAACTGCCCATGACTTTGGTTTGCTAGTTCATGCAGAGGCAATTAAACAGGGGTTAGACTCTAATGTTTATGTTGGAAGTTCGTTGATTAGTATGTATGCCAAGTGTAAGAAGATTGAAGCTGCAAAAAAAGTTTTTGATGCTTTAGATGAGCGGAATGTAGTCTTGTGGAATGCTATGCTCGGAGGTTATGCACAAACTGGATGTGCCAATGAAGTCTTGGAATTGTTCTTTAATATGAAGAGTTGTGGTTTTCGTCCAGATGAGTTTACCTATACCAGTATTTTGAGTGCATGTGCTTGCTTGGGATATCTGGATGGGGGTCGGCAGTTGCATTCATTAATTATCAAGAATAAATTTGCCTTAAACTTATTTGTTGGAAATGCATTGATTGATATGTATGCTAAATCTGGGGTTCTTGATGATGCAAGGCAACAATTTGAGCTTATGAGGAATAGAGACAATGTTTCCTGGAATGCAATTATTGTTGGATATGTGCAGGAAGAAGATGAGGTTGAGGCATTCCTTATGTTTCAGAAAATGCATTTGCTTAGGATTCTACCAGATGAAGTGTCAATGTCCAGTATATTGAGTGCATGCGCAAATATTAGAGGTCTTGAGCAAGGGAAACAGATACATTGTTTATCTGTCAAAACTGGTCTAGAAACAAGCCTTTATGCTGGAAGCTCCCTTATTGACATGTATGCTAAGTGTGGCGCTGTAAGCTCTGCCCATAAAATTCTTGCATGCATGACTGAGCGGAGCGTGGTCTCCATGAATGCACTTATTGCAGGATATGCTTCTATTAATTTACAAGAGGCAACAATTCTATTTAAAGAGATGCAAGCCAAAGAATTGAATCCATCGGAAATAACTTTTGTCAGCCTTTTAGATGCTTGCATTGGAGCTCAACATTTGAATCTAGGAAGGCAAATCCACTCTCTTATTTTAAAGGGGGGCCTTCAGAATGATGATGAATTCTTGGGTGTCTCACTCTTGGGCATGTATATGAACTCCCTAAGAAAAACAGACGCAAGTATTCTCTTCTCAGAGTTTTCAAATCCGAAAAGCACTATATTGTGGACTGCTATGATTTCAGGACTCACTCAAAATGATTGCAGTGATGAGGCTTTGCAGTTCTACCAAGAGATGCGTAGCTATGGTGCCTTACCTGACCAAGCTGCATTTGTCAGTGTGCTTAGAGCATGTGCTATCTTATCTTCTATGAGAGATGGTACGGAGATTCACTCAGTCATTTTCCGTACTGGTTTTGATTTGGATGAATTAACATGTAGTGCCCTTGTGGACATGTATGCTAAATGTGGGGATGTAAGGAGTTCCATGCAAGTTTTTGAGGAAATGCATAGTAAAAATGATGTCATTTCTTGGAACTCAATGATCGTTGGATTTGCAAAAAATGGCTATGCAGAAGACGCATTAAGAGTCTTTGATGTGATGAAGCAAACACATGTTAGACCTGATGATGTCACATTTCTAGGTGCTCTCACTGCATGTAGTCATGCAGGGAGGGTATCAGAAGGCCGTCGCATATTTGATAGTATGGTTAACTATTATAGGATTCAGCCTAGAGTGGATCATAGTGCCTGCATGGTTGATCTTCTTGGAAGGTGGGGTTTTCTCCAAGAAGCTGAAGAGTTCATCTATAGGCTTAATTTTGAACCTAATGCCATGATTTGGGCTACGATGCTTGGGGCTTGTAGAATACATGGGGATGAAATAAGAGGTCAACGAGCTGCTGAAAAACTCATTGAGCTTGAACCTCAAAATTCTTCACCCTATGTGCTTCTTTCTAACATATATGCTGCATCAGGAAACTGGGATGATGTCAATACCTTAAGGAGGGCAATGAGAGAGAAAGGAGTGAAGAAGTTACCTGGATGTAGTTGGATTGTAGTGGGACAGAAGACAAATATTTTTGTTGCAGGAGACAAGTCTCACTCTAGTTCTGAAAAAATTGATGTAGTTCTAGGAGATCTGACAGCACTTATGAAAGAAGATAGTTATGTTACTGTAATTGATTATTTTGTCCATGACGTATTGTGAAACTTTCCTTTGTCAAATAGTCAGTCCCTTTCTCTGCCGCGTCAGGTAGAGATGAAGTTTAGACTAAGCTTATGCCAAAATAGTGGATGATAAATTGATGGATTAGAGAATGTAGAAGCTGTCACTGAGGCACATCCTGACTGGGAGGCATAGAAATGAACATGTAAGACTCTTTTGAGGTCTAAATCTGCATGAAGTGGCTAGTGAGTTATATAGTGGAGGCTTGGTCAACCAGACGTTGGGTCAAGCTGGTTTCCTGAATGTGTTGCAATGTCTGTTTATTGTCGACATCAATATTTGGAAGAGCCTTTTTTTTTGGTGGGGGGCTTAATGGAGGTTATTCCTTCTCAGTTTTTGAAGAATCACATTTTTAAATTATTTAGATCATAATATTTATCTGGCTGTTTAATTTAACTAAGTTTTGCATTCTATTTAAGAATTTCTTTTGCAGAAGTTGTGTACACTCAGCAGCATTTCTGCAGGCACAGTCTTGAATATGAAGGTTGAGAACTAACAAGCAATATCCATCCTGGTCAAGTGTTTGCCTCACAGTAAATAGTTGAACCTTTTTATCTTTGAAAGATTTGACACTGCTGATCAAAGGTGAAATTTCGATGAAAAAGTTGATGGGCTTTTTAGTAATTTTATTCTTTTGTTTTGGTTGAGAAATCAATGTCCAAACCAATTTACTTAATGGCCCCCATGACTAATTTTTCAGAATTATAGTTTGTACCTAAATGCACCTTTGCGTGTGCTTGTGCGTAATGCCCATTGCAGCCAATTGAAAATGAATCAAACGTCAATCTCTTGTTCTTGTAATATGTTAGGGATAATGTTGTCACTGGATCTATCTTTTTCATGTTTTAATATATTTTTCAGATCCAGTCGAGGTTTTTCATAATTGTTAATTTGGAGAAAATATGAGAATTTATAAATTTGGGTATGATTCACATACATAAACATTAGATTTATATATCTCGTGATTGTTTAAATAAATGAAATATGAAATTCATGGATTTTATAAAATTTATGAAAACTTTTGTTGGATTTTACATTTATTGTGAAATTTTATATTTTATTATTTGGTTGAAAAATAAATTTACAAATTTAAAAATTTTAGAATGAAATTAAGTGATTTACATTTATTCATTAATAAAATTTAATATGAAAATAAACATATTCCTAAAATTTAATTTAAATTTCTATCTCCTGAAACTGGAGCAATCAAGTGTAATCGAAAATAGACGAGCTTGAAGGAGTATGATGATTCATTGGTTAAGGAGAAACTCCATTTGTATGATCTTTGACTTTCTTTTGTTGAACTGACCATATTGGAACACGTGGTAAACATAATATGGTCTTACTCTAGAGTGCGTATCTGATCCAAGCTTTATTAATTCACCGACAGCTTCTTTTTTGGTGTTTGCGTAAAGCCATGAGATAATGTCCAAACCAACCTAACCATTAATGCACATCACTGTTTATGTCTGAACTGACTAAAGTGTCCTTACCTTGCAACTATAATTCCCACTGTTCTGTAAAACAGGTCCCTTTAGCTGTAGCTACCAGAGATTCCACATACCACAAAAGCTTTGGTTTACTGCAATACCCATTTGAGAAGCTGTAAGTTTCTCTTTATTGAGTGCCTGAAAGTGCAAACAATAAATTTTTTTTTCACTTGCTTGAGGCCATGCTTGTTAAAGATTCTCTATTTGCTCATGTGGCATTCAAATCAATTGTTTGACTTACGATTTTAATGAAGTTCTGATCTGGTTGTGCTTAGAAGGAGTATCAGTGTTGATTTGAGTTCTGGAGGTCAATTTTGGTTCTGTTTACTTATTTGGAATTTATCCGTAATAACTAATTAATTGAAGTTGTTTATGTCTATGCATTGTGGACAAAGATGATTGAGACGGTTGGTGGTTTCAATCAAAGTTCATTTGGCCATTTGAGGCCCTTTGGAACAAGGGTTTACAGTTTTGGCAAGAGAATTGTAAAGCACCATTGTAAATTCTGGAGCTTTCCACCATTCAATGGTTTTATTTTAGTTGGTTCGTCGTTGTTATTCCTTTTAGCCATGGCGTTTGCATATTTGTTTCTTTTCCCTAGATTTCAGCCAGTTATTGATGGTTATGAGATTCCTATCTCCAATGGTGCAGTTAATGAATGCAATGTTTTCAAAGGAAGTTGGGTTCAAGATGAAAGTTACCCTCTATATAATGCCTCGGAATGCCCTTTTGCAGAGCGTGGATTTAATTGCTTAGCTAATGGGAGAAGAGATACAGGTTATACAAAATGGAGGTGGAAGCCCAAGAATTGTGATATCCCAAGGTTTAATGTGCATCAAATTCTTGAAAAACTGCGCGGCAACAGGATTGTGTTTGTTGGCGATTCATTGAGTAGAACGCAGTGGGAATCTTTGATATGTATGCTCATGACAGGTGTGGAGGATAAAAAGAGTGTTTATGAAGTCAATGGGAATCAGATCACTAAACAAATTAGATTTTTAGGTGTAAGGTTCAGTTCATTTGATTTGAGAATTGATTTTTACCGATCAGTTTTCCTAGTGCAACCTGGTCCAATGCCTAGGCGAGCTCCTAAGAGGGTTAAATCAACACTTAGACTTGACAAGTTGGATGATATTAGCCATGAGTGGATTGATTCTGATGTCTTAATATTTAATTCAGGGCACTGGTGGACACCAAGTAAATTGTTTGAAATGTAAGTTATCTGCTTTCCTGACTGATTCTGTGCATTTGTTGATCTTGCTTGTAATGGACCTTGGCTGCATTTAATTTGAAGAACTGTGATTGAAACTACCAGTGCCTTATTAATTCTAATAAATAATTTGATACATAGACCTGTCATTAATTTTTTCATTTTCTATTCCGTATTTAGCTTCTCTTCTCATTAGTTCCATTGCATGACAAACCTTACAGTCATTCTCATATCATACAATCTTTTGCAATTTCACCAGTTAAAAGGATGACTTCTTTACATTCCAAAAATTTGGAAAGGTTTTTACAATCATAGCATATTGTTAATTAAGTACATAGATTTCTGTTGCATACTGTACGTGTGTGACTGGTTGAGGAACTAGGAGTTTGCTTGTTAAACTTTGGTACTTATTAAAATAAATAATAAGTATTTTTTTTCTCGACCCAACTAGAACACAATCTGTTTTGAATTCGGTTTGTCTTAGATAAAGCTGGGCGAGGATACAAAGTTATTTACTGCAGCTCATGCTATTATTGCAACTCATGCTCGATTATTTTCATGTCAGTCTAACTATATGAATCTTCTTAATGAATATTGTCCAGTTACGTATTTACTATTTAGTGGCATAAAGTTGGTAATTTTTAGCTGTTTTTCTGTTTGCTGTAAGTCAGTGCACTTGGTCCCATTAAAGTTGATATAGAGGTTGGAGTAAGTAATAGCTATGAGAAGAGAAATAGCTTTAAGATAAGATAGTGGTGGATTGGACCGAATTGCTACTATTTCTACTAGTAAAAGTATCCTTCATAGTTCTTATCCTTTGTGGATGTTGACATGAGATCTCTAAATGAACATAACAAATAACTTGTCATCAAGAACTTGGAAATAACAGTTGTACGTCACTTGCCTATGTTTCTAGAGTTTGATGGCATTCTCTATTAAGACAAATTATCTCCATGTTTTATTCTTTATTATCTTCTATTCAACCAATTTTCATGGACATGATAATATATGCATCTGGAGTACTAGGGAATGGCATGCTTGGTCAATGCTGTAGTCTCGCTAGTGAACTTCCTACATGTTTAAACCTAGAGATTCATTTCCCTCTATCTTTTGCAAATTTCAGTAGGCTTTTGGCAAACTATTGTGCTTCTAACATCTTTTTCAGACAGGGGCTGTTATTTTCAGATTGGTGGTTCACTGAAGCTAGGAATGCCTATCACTGCTGGCTTGAAAACAGCATTAAACACTTGGGCATCCTGGGCTGAGACTGTCATCAATGCAAATAGAACAAGTATATTTTTCCGGACTTTTGAGTCTTCACATTGGAGGTGTGCTATTCACCATTTCTTTTGGCTTCTGTTTGTGTATGTATTCGTCTTTAGTATCATTACTCATAAATCTGATTCGTCTTCAGTTATAATGTTCTTGGTGCTGCTCTGGATAGTTTTCTAGAATGTTGGATGTTGTACCCTTATTCATTAGTCTTGCATGCCTCTTCTTCCTGGTGATAATTTATCACATAGACTATGGTTTTTATTGCAAACTATTTTACTAAAATTTCATTGCAAACTATTTTACTAAAATTTCGGCAGAACCTTGAGAAGATACCAAATGCATATATAATTTCTGCCATTTATGAACTGATATATCAATGAAACTATTATTTTGTTTTTATTTTTATTTTTGAGCATTGGGGAGAAGGGGAAATTGAACTTTGGTTTGTGCCTATGTCATGTATACACTTATCTCTAGACTATGTCTATTTGTGCATGAATTTTTATTGTTAGCAAGAACTGGAGCAATATCTTCCGTGTGGATCAGATATAACTGGGTGCCTGATGTTGATTAAAATGAAAAAATGAATTATTTTTGGTTCATTTGTAAGAACAGTGTTTGAATGCCCTCAGTTAGAATCTGTTCCGTGCCAATGCCTTAAGTGAACCACTTGGAAGACCATTACTGGATATGTTATAGTTAATCCTTAATATGAGGCGAAGAGACCTATGGAGCAATGGCTGAGAGAATTGCCACAGTAGATTGCACCTTTTCTGTACTATAACTTCCAGTTTAAGATGGTCTTGCATGCGAACATGCTACCTTATGGACAATGTTCTGTATGAAAATGCTAATTCATATTGTCATCAAAATATTCTGTCAAATTATTCTTGAATTTTTCATGATGGAGCCAACAAGCTGATACACATATGGGTAAAATCTCATCGTTCTTTATATCTTTTGTTTTGAAGTTAATGACAGAGCATTCTATTTTTTCATAAAAAGGAAGAGAGACTATCTAGTCAAGCAAGGTGGCCTATTGCACCTGATACACTTATCGTGTGTGGAGTAGTCGTAGTTTGAGTGTGACTTGCAATAAGTTTTTTGTGTTATGTTCACTTAGGGCCTTAAGGGTTTGCCTGCTGTCTTTTCTGTTGCTATTGGCCTTCATTTGACATTATTCAGTTACTGGAAGGAATAAATTGTGCCCCTGTTGAATCATTTCTGCCTAAAGCATAATTTTATCTAAAGATTATCAGATTTACTGAGAAGTCTGCAAAAGTTGACTAATAGTATTGGTTATATCTATAACAGTGGCCGGAACCGTCTTTCTTGCAAATTGACAAGGCGCCCTTCGCCAAAAACTGGAGGCAAAGACCGGAGTCCAGTTTCAGACATAATACTCAAGGTTGTGAAGAAAATGACAACTACAGTAACAGTTCTTCATGTAACACCTATGGGGGCATTCCGGAGTGATGCACATGTTGGTAGCTGGAGTGACAATCCATCTGTGCCTGATTGCAGTCACTGGTGTCTGCCTGGAGTACCTGATACGTGGAATGAAATTCTATTGTCGTATTTGCTGTCAAAAAAATGAGTCCTCCATTCCATAATAATGAAGCAGCAAGTTTGCCTCTTGTCTTACATGTCTACCCATCAAGTCCATTCTGATGTAATTTCGAAGGAGCAAGATTTACCAGAAAGAGAAGTTCGAGAAATATTGACCTGATAATACTTCATATATAGTTATTTTAGCTAGAAATGAACATTCTTGAATGCTGTTAAAATTTGCTGCTTAATTGTTGAGGTTGCATTTCTTGATGTTAAAAAAAAGAAAAGGCTTAATTTCCAGGGCTTGAAATATAAAATCTGCAACAATTGAATTGTTATCAGAAATTCTAATTTCATTCCTTTTCTTTATTTTTTGTTTTCAGAAATTCTTTGAAATGGTTTATGAGAATATTTTGTTGAGACAGAAAAGATGTGACATTAATGTGTTTGGATCTGTGTTGTGACATTTGTTTTCACATGTTTTATTTATGTTAGGCATGGCGTAGAGGAAAATGAAATTGATAGCTTGAAGATTTCATACTTCACATAATTTTGTTGATTTTTTCCTTTGTTTAAAGTAAAAGGAAAAGGGAAAACAAAATAACAAACGTAAGAATATTCGTCTTCGATACAAGTTTGTTGCATCACTTCACTTTGTAAAAATTAACAACGTTAATTCAATAAGGTTATGAGTTCAAATATGCGTTTAAAAAAAAAAAAAAAAATCAACAAGAAGAAGAAGAAGAATGCACCCTTTTTGTGAAGCATAAACTATAGATGTAACCAACCTTAGAAATTAAATAATGCAAGTTGTATTCGTATGTATTCCCCCCTTAACATGAAGTCATGAACTATAGAATTAGAAAATCTTACGAAAGAGAAGTGTTTTCCAATGCAAACAACCAAATGTCTAACAAATCTTAGAATGAGAGTCAAGTCACTAAAAACTTGTTTATGAATTTTAACGATAAAAAATAATCCAAACCTCTCACTACAAATAGGCTTTAGCCCAACACCATTATTTACCAATTCACTTCATAAATATCTAAAATACACTTATTTTCTTGAAACTAATATAGTAATGGCCTCCCCAAATAACTTTCCCTTCCCCTATTCCTCTCCTCCACCACCAACCCACCCTTTCCAGCCCCCGCCACGACCTCCTGTACGTCCACCGCCACCACCACCACCACCACCACCACCTCCTCCACCTCATGTACGGCCATCACCACCGCCACCAGCACCATCACCTAGCAACAACAGTACAACAACAATAGTAATTGTGTTTGTTTCATTTGGTGGAGTTTTCTTTCTTGCATTTCTTGCAGCTTGTCTTTGTTGCTTCCTCAAGAAAAAGAAGAAGAAGGAAATAAAAGAAACTGAACTTATCCATGTAGATGAACACAAAAAAATTAAGGAAGCCATTGTAGAAGGTCCTCATGGACCTCAAGCTATAGTGCTAGAGATTGAAGATGATGTGCATGTCGATGAAGTTATCAAGAAGGAAGAAAAGGTGGGTCAAGTTAAAGGTAGCAAGTCCTTGGAGATGGATGCACCCTCTACTTCTGCTTCTTATCATCGCCAACTTGAACGCAAGGCCTAATTATCTATACTTAAATTATTTATTATTCAATTATTAATTTAATTACAATGTCTATGATAAATGTGCCCTTTTGAAAATGTCGAATATGAATTGAAATAAAATTTATGTCAAACTGTGTTATACGTTTAACTATATATAAATTTCCATGATAACAATAATAATAATGAATATTGATAATAATTAAAAAAACTAATAGAAAATCAAATCAAATCAAACCGACTCATTTCAATCAGATTTGGATAATTATTTTAGAAATTTGGTGACAAATCAATTTAGATATAAAAAACTGTTTGATTTTGAATTTTGGTTCAATTATTATATATAATTAACCAAATTTAGTTTAAGTTCATAATAGCTAATTTGATTTGAAATAATCAAATCAAAATGGTTCAGTTCGGTAGGAATACTACTGAGTTCCAAATTAGTACCATCAAAATATATTCAAAAGACTGAAACTGAGTTAATTATTCTTATTTAATTCAGGTAACTGAATACTTGTTCTAAGTAGAAAAGATTCGATTCCTTTAAATAAAAAGTCCAGTGTTTCATTCCGTGGATGAAAAAATTCTCTCCCGAATTTAACTCACAATGAGCAGAAGTAGTCCAATCTAGTAAGCTGAGGACACGTATGATCTACAGTCTAACACAAATACGCATAATAGTATAATTTTAAATATTAACCAGCTTAAATTCATCAGTTGTAGCCATGACCAGCCTCCTCCTTTGGATATGATTTCCTGTACTACCATTGATTTCAGTAACCAAAATTTATTGATTTCTAAAATCTAATCAATAGAATTAATTAAAGGAGAACACACACATAAATATGTACAAGACTTCAATATATTATCATCATCTTCATCTTTCAGTTGTTTTCATTCAAAGCTGTTGTTTCTTTCTTCCATTTTTCTTCATCTAATCATCAAATTTCTTCGATCTCATTACTGGATCAATAAATGAAAGCAGGAGAAAAGAACCATTCCTTTCAAGCTTTGGAAAAATTGACAAACAGCTAAACACCTTATTATTTCTGATCTAATGTCAAGATCTAGACAGGAGGAGTCAGCGCCAAATACAATGAACTACAACATCAAGTGTATAAATTTTATTCAAACGCCAAAAATGAATCTGGTCACGACCAGAACTCTTTGATGACCAATTAAGTAATATCGACAAGGAACAAACTTCATTTTTGGAAAAACTGAAGAACTAAAGGAAGCATTACTCAAATTAATGGTAGTACAAGAAACCATTCCCAAAGGAGGGTGCTGGTCATGGCTACGAGAGTACGAGGACAGTGAGATTGTTTGAAAATATTTTTTTGGAAACAAACCAAGCCTATAATTTCTTATTAAGATATATCAATCAGGTGGTGGTCTGATTGATCTTCTTATTTATATGAGGAGTGAGAGAAGGCTACTCATAAAAACATCTAATACAAAGCTTCTACAATAGGGCGTTAATTTAAAATTTTAATTAGTTTAAAACTTCTCAATAAAAGATCTTATTAAATTTTTTATTCTTATTAAATTTATAATTATTTATGCATACTATTAAAATATTTTTTAATAAATTTTATTTTATTTTTAACCAATAATATTTAGATTTAAATAGAGAACTAATCTAACCAATCAAATCAAAATTAACTTGATTTTTTTAACCAAAAGAAGTTAATATTTTAAAATACTTTTATTAATTTATAAGTTTAGTAAAGTTATTTTTAGGAATCCTAATATTCTCTCATTCTCACTTATATATATATATATAAGTAGTTGTAGCCTTATGCTTCTTGCACGTGTGTTCATAAATTATTTGAAAAATTATTATTATTACCGAAAATAAAAGAATAAGTATAATTAAATCCTATCTTTTACTTGGAAAATAGTTGATTATTTGAGATTAAAAAAAACATAAACATAAATATTTAAAAATAATTACACATATATATATGATAAAAAAAATAAAACAATGTGAATGCTATAAGAACAATGATTAAAGATTGAAAATAGCAGAACAGACTCTTAACTTGTGTACAACAGTTGTGTGCCTTGTTGCTTTTCTAGAGTTATTTAAATACCCTCAATTGTTATACTTGTGGAATCAACTTTGTCCTTTCTTTTTATTTTTTATTTTTTTTTTCAAATTTCGATGCTACAGCTACTTGCAGAAAATACGAGCGGAGGAGCTTAATTCCTAAACAAGTAAATCTGAGTTCAATCCAAGGCCTTATAAGTTTATATATAAAAAGAAAATTCACTTGGAAAAGATACCCGCAAACTTTAGAAAAAATCAAATATTGAACCGAACCAAATTATTTTCGGTCTTTGATTTGGTTATTCAGTTTTGGTTTAAAATCTTCAATAATATCAGCTTCTAGTCAGATTAGTTATTTCAGAATTTTTATTTTCTGAGTAAAATTGAACTATGTTACTGAGCGTTTAATTTAGTTTGATTTTTCTAATTTATTTATGTTTGACAAAGAGAATCTATTTTTGATTTTCGGTTTTCGCTATTCCTACCTGAATCAGTGTCTTGTTACATAAATGTTTTTAGACATTTAAACCAAATCGTTACCAAATATTAATACTAATAGATACAGAAACAAAGATAAATAATAGTAGTTACAGCAATGTCTTGAATAAATGTATTGTAAAACTTAAACCTAAAGTCATTATTTTTGGTCCACCTAATTTTTCACTAATTCTATAGATTCTGCTATGTAAATTCAGTTATTATAGGGATACTTGTTATTAAAAATTATGAAAAACAAAATCTTTGAAATATAAATGTTTATGAGCTAAAAGTTGGTCTTGGTTTTAGTTTCAGAAAACAAAAAAAAAAAAAAATGTTGGACTTGGGTTTAGTTGATCAAATTAGTAAATAAAAATTTCGATATTACCAATGAAATCTTTCTTTTCAAAACCCACAGGTTTTCCTTTCCTTTACACACAAAACCACTGCACCCATTGTTTTTTAATTTCTATATTATCATCACCATTTTCGTGTATATATATATATATAGAACGTGCGCTCTAATGCTTCTGCTATAACAGTTTCACTCGACAATAAGCACTCAAGTGTTAAAATGCTAGCCGCCCACTACCTCAATACATGGATACCACACACCCACCACCACCGTCTCACCGTCAAAAGCAGCCGTCTACCATCTATCACCGCCGTGGCTGCTCCACCGCCACCTCTATTGAAGCACCAAAAGACCCATTCAATGCCGCCTGAAAAGATTGAAATATTTAAATCTTTAGAAACTTGGGCCACAGACAATGTGCTTCCACTTCTTAAACCAGTAGAAAATTGCTGGCAACCACAAAACTGGCTGCCTGACCCCACAGTACCATTTGATGAATTCACTGATCAAGTGCGGGCCCTACGTGATCGGACGGCTGAACTTCCTGATGATTACTTTGTAGTGCTGGTGGGTGATATGATCACTGAGGATGCATTGCCTACATATCAGACCATGATTAATACGCTAGACGGCGTTAGAGACGAGACTGGAGCAAGCCGAAACCCATGGGCATTGTGGACTCGGGCCTGGACTGCTGAGGAGAACCGACACGGTGATTTGCTGAGGACTTACTTGTACTTGTCGGGTCGGGTTGATATGTTGATGATTGAGCGGACCGTGCAGTATTTGATTGGAGCTGGCATGGTAATTTTTCTATTAATAATCTCTTATGCAAAAAATAAATTATTCTTTAGTTACTACATAATAACCATGTCTAGATATTTAAATTTGCTTTTTCATTAATTGATTCAATTTGGTTTATAATTTTAAATATTTTAAATATTTTTAATTTTCAGTTTAGTATATAAAGTAAGTTTTAACTTCTTGTTTGAAATAAATGAATTACCATAAAATTTTGTGAAATTTATTTTACAAATTCAAATTTTTGTATTTGGTATAAATTTAAATTTATGAATTTGAATACAATTAACTAAATTTTATAAAAAAAACGTGAAATTTTTGATGAATTTCGTAAATTTTAAACCATGTTTATATTTGTAGCCTCTATAATTATTATGTCAGTAGTTTTTTAAAAAATAAATGTAAATAATTTTCAAAAATAAATATAAATAATTTTAAATTTTAAATGTATTTAGTTACTAATGAATTTTATTTAAAATTATTTTTAAATGGCATTTATTTAGAGTTATTCTAAAAATTTAGCTGAATTGAATGAGTTGGGTTTTGAACATAATTGGATTTAGCTTGATTCAGAACATTTATTTTAAAATTTAATTAAACATTTATATGTTCCATTCAATAGAAAACATTATTAAAAAAATATTTAATATTTAGGACCCAGGATCAGAAAACAATCCGTACTTGGGCTTTGTTTACACGTCATTTCAAGAGAGAGCCACATTTGTATCACACGGCAATACGGCGCGTTTAGCTAAGGACAGAGGTGATCCAGTACTGGCGCGTATATGCGGTACCATAGCAGCGGACGAGAAGCGTCACGAAAACGCGTACTCTAAGATCGTCGAAAAGCTTCTTGAGGTAGACCCCACAGGAGCAGTGGTAGCGATTGGAGATATGATGCGGAAGAAAATCACGATGCCGGCCCACTTGATGTACGATGGGCAGGACCCGCATTTGTTTGATCATTTCTCGGCCGTGGCTCAGCGGCTTGGAGTATATACGGCTGGTGATTATGCTGATATTATGGAGTTTTTGATCGGACGGTGGAGATTGGAGAAGCTGGAAGGATTGACGGATGAGGGTAGACGTGCACAGGATTTTGTGTGCGGATTAGCACCTAGGATTAGGAAGTTGCAGGAGCGAGCTGAAGAGAAGGCCAAGAAGTTAGGCCCGCAAGGAGTGAAATTTAGCTGGATTTTCAATAGGGAGGTTGCCTTGTAAAATTAGCGAGTCTTGCTTTCTTTTCTTTTCTTTTTTTTTTTTTAAATATGTTTTCTTTTTCTTTTTTTAGTTGAAAAATATTCCTAAATTAAATTTTTATTAGCCTTTTTCTGATGTTCTCGGAAAGCAAATTCGTTATTATGTTTATATGAAGCAAGCAATGTATAAAAAAAAAAAAAATGGTAATTGATTAGTAGTTTAGAGACTGTTTGGTATTGTTATGTTTTTTATTTTCAATTTTAGTTTTCCTCATTTTATATTGAACATTTAATATTTCAAAATAGGTTAATAGATTTTTTTTTTTTTCATTTGAGAATTTCCATTTTTAATCTTCTATTCTCCTTAAGAAAAAGATGGTTTTTCTTCTTTTTCTTTTTCTTTCTTTTTTTTTTTTTAAGAAGAAAAGGTGGATACAGTATAAGGAAAATTTGCTAAATTAAAAAAAAAAAATAAAAAAGACTGAATACATTATTTTCTCAATCTTATAATTTTACTACAGTGAACATGTAAATTTTGCTAATATTTTTTATACTTGCTAGTTACATGGAAGAAAGATAACACACATGATGATGTGTCAAAGACAAAGTAAAATTTTAAAAGTGATTTGCGACGTCAGTTCTCATTTGCCACCTTGATTATCATTCACCACGTAAGTTTCTCTATAATTGCTTCTTCTTCTCTCATCCACTCACGCAGCAATTGTCATTTCACTTTCAGCCATGCCCATCCCATGTTCTGCATCTTCAATTAATTTTTATAGTTTTCGTATTAAAAACAACAGCAATTTCCATAATTATTTACTAAAAAGCTATAAATAAAAAACCTAAGCCATAATAATTCACTGAGCATCCTTTAATGGTACAAACGAACTTAGATATTTATATAATTACCCTAAGTTTGCTTTAAGTAATAAACATATAGGTATATACAAAACATTTAAAAAATATTTATGATTATGTATTTATTATATGTAAGGAAAATGTTATTATGTCTAGTTAACGTTACAGTTAGGGAGAAAATATAATGAAATGATCGAATTGAATTGTTATAAGGTTACTTGGCTAGCGGAAAAACAATTTTTTCTATGTTTTTGCAAGCAGTATGATTAATATATTCTCAAAAAAAAAAAAAAAAAAATGTTTTGCAAGCAGTATGATTTATATATTCTCAAAAAAAAAAAAAAAAATAGGCAATATGATAATATAAAAAAAAAAAAAAAAAAAAATAGCAATATGATTAATATATAATTTGATGAGACTTTTATATATTATTACACTTTGAATTTGAATTTTGGTATTGAGTGAATAATACAAAATAATGCTAAAATGGTAATCAAACTAAAAGTTTAATAATCCAAAAGAGGTTTAGTTTTCTTTATCAATTTGGGTTGGATTATATGTCTAGAAATTTATACTATTCTTTACAAGTTATTTAATCTAGGTTGTTTTCGACAACAACTTTCTAAATAGCTTTTAATTAAAACGTTAAACGCTATTTAAAAAGTTGTTTGGTACTATAATATTCAAACTAACTTTTAAAAATTATAGCGTTTTGTAAGAGTTAACTCATGTAATGTTTAGCTTTTATCGTTTCATGAAAAACTACTCAAACAACTAATAGTTAAACTCTACTAAAATAATTAACAGGTACTAAAATAATTAATTTTACCGAACAGATTCTTAGTGGTTGCAATAAGTTTTCGATAGCTAGCAGTTGAATCACCACATAATAACAAATATCTAAGGGCCAAACTTTAAGATATTGCTCTAAATACTAAATTTATTAAACAACACTAATTAGGATATTAGAGTCTACATTCTAAAGATGATTTCTAATCCCTCACCCAAAAGAACCATTTTCTCTGTGTATAAGGTTATTTAAAGAATATCAAAAAAGAAAAAAAAAATCAACATGTAGAGTAATGAATTAAAAATTTGTAATTACATTCAATCATACTGTATGAAACAAAAAATTTGTAATTACACTCGATTATATTCTATCAAACAAAATTTAGAAGAAGAGAAGTGAAGAGCAAAGAGCAAAACGAAATGAAGAATAGTTGATAGCCTCCAAGTCTAAAATGTTGTCGTTTTAGGTTAGAATTGATAGGAGGGGGTTGTTCAATGGAATTCCTAATGAATCCTGAGGAAGGTCACAATTGCTATTAAAAACTAAATTGTGTATTAATCGGAAAAATTAAAAGAATGGATTACAATTGTTAAAGCAATGAAGTTCAGAATTTATTTGACAATTAGACCTTAAGCTAAATAAAAAGTTTAAAATGTAAAAATAGCTAAAAATCAACGAAATCGACTCAATTTAATTTAATATCTATACGTTATTCAAATTGATTCGATTTTCATTTTAAAAAATTTTGATTTGTTCAATTTATTCTAGTTCACATCAAACTAACTAAACCGAAAGAGACCTCTATCTTAATTATATATACTTGATTGATTGAAGCTCATAATGTATGGAATCGGATTATACATATATATACATATAGAAAAAGCTTTATACCTTATTTTATTTATTTTTATAGATGGAGGTGAAGGGGATGGTTCTGTAGGGAAATTAAAGCGTATTAATATCTGTATGACCAACTTGATGCATAAATATCATTGATGGTGACAAGTCAATTGTAATCATACTATATAGTTGACTTTTCACCAAAACAACTCTTCTCTACAACCAAACCATCATTAAATTAAGATACAATTATATATGGTGAGACTTTTTTTATTATTTTTTTTTCTCGGATATAAGTGGAAATACCTTCGTTTTAATAAAAGTTTTATTTGAGATTTACCTTTTTTTTTTCTCTGATTTTTTTTTCTCGAATATAGTTAAAAATACATTCGTTTTAATAAAAATTTTATTTTAACACCGTTAAAGTTTATGGTTGAATAAACCTTAGTGTCACTAAAAATAATTGTATAAGATTTTTATGTGGATAAATAAAACTTTAAGAGTTTAATAACTAAAAGTTACAAACTTGAAATCGTTCTGGACGTTTTTTGATTTTAAAATATTAGATTTGACGTCGTAAAATTTTATGGTTAATTACGTCGTTCACTGAAAATAATAGTACAAGAATTTTATATGGACAAATAAAATTTTACGGGTTCAATAGCTAAAAGTTGTAAAGTTGAGGGGCTTTTGGATGTGTTTAGTTTGTTTTTTTTTTTTTTTTTTCCCTTTACATTAAATACCTTTTACGGGTTCAATAGCTTAAAAGTTGTAAAGTTTGAGGGGCTTTTTGGATGTTTCTTAGTTTGTTTTCTTTTTTTTTTTCTTCCCTTTTTTTTTTTTTTTTTTTTCCCTTTACATACACACTACAAGAAAAAAACCTGAATAGAAACGGAAAATTCCGTTTCTAAATAGTTAAAGTTGTTGCTAAATTGATTTACAGACGGATCATAAACGGAAATTATCCTTCACAACTTGGGTCGTTACTAAAGAGGTTTATAAACAGATATATGCAATCCAGTAAATCGTTTCCAAATCGTGACGTCTTCGATACGAATTTCATGTCCAATTTGTTTCTATTTTGTTGCTAAATCCGTTTATAATCCGTCTCTATCCGTATCTAATTTCCATATCTATAATGGTATTCGGACGTGTTTTGTTGCTAATCCGTTTCTAAATCCTTTGATGCGTTTAGATAGTTTGTTCCTAGATCTATTTTTAATTTTATATTTATTTTTTTGAAACTAACTCAAAATAAAAAAAAAAACACTAAATGTAAAATTTGCAAAATTTTTTTAATATATATATGTCCATACTATATATAAATATGAGAATAGGGAGGGATAATGAAATTTTTTATAGCGCCCTTAATGCAATTTAGATATCATAAAATAACGTTAGTTATATTCAATTAGAAAATTACATTTTATTAGTTGATTGAATATAATTTATAATAATTATTTTTTGAATAAATACATATAGATAATTGAGCATTTCAAAATTTTAAATTTATTATTTTTAAATTTATTTTGTAATAAAAATATATATGATAACAAGACATTTAATATTTAATATTTTATTTTTAAATATTTGACTTTTTTTTATTATATTTTTTAATATTTTATTTACAAGAGAGATAAAAAAAATTTTATTAATATTTTTTTATATCTTTATGATTTGATTGCATATATATTTTTTTAAAAATTTTGAAATAGAATTTACATAATATTTTATTTAGGAGAAAAAAAAAAGAAAAAATTGTATTCTTTTTATTAATATTTAATATTTTTTATTAGATTTGTATAATTTGATTGGATATACTTTTTTAAAAATAAATTTTCAAATAGAATATACATAAAATGTTATTTAGGAGACAGATAAAAAAGAAAAAGTATATTCTTTTAATTAATATTTCTCTTTATGTTTGTATGATTTGATTGACTATATATTTTTTTAAAAATAAATTTTCAAATAGATTATATGTAATTAAGCCTTTTAAATTTTATTTTTAAATAAAATAACCACACGTGTGTGCGAGATGGTGATAAGTGTAAATTTTATAGTGTTTTTAATATAGTTTTTGTTAGAATTTTAGTAAGTTTTTATTACCTTAATTGATTTTTAATCACTTTTAGTATAATTTCTTTAGTAAGTTTTTATTTACCTTAATTGATTTTTAAATCACTTTTAGCTATTTTAATGTGTTTCAAAAGCTTCCTTTGATATTTATCCGCTTGATCTAAGAAGAGAATTTGTAGGAATTTGGCCAAAGAAAAGAAACCTTAGAATACAGGCAACTCAGCTTCTAGCCACGCCCTAGGGCCGGCTAGAAGGCACAAACCGTGCTAGAAGCCAAAGAAACCTGCTAGAAGCCAAAGAAACCAAAGAAGAGACAGAAGAGAGCACGGCCAGGGTGTGTCAAAAGGCACAGCCGTGCTACAATGAGGCCAGGGCGTGTCAAGCATAGCACGCCCATGACAGCTCTAGGCAGACTTCCAGAGCAAAGCACGCCCTGCCTGTGCTTTATAGCACGCCTGTGCCTCAGTGTTTCACCAGCCCGTGCTACCTAGCACACCCCGTGCTTAACTAACCAGACTTCCAGACTAAAGCACACCTAGCCCGTGCCATGAAGCACGCCTGTGCTGCGCAGGCGGAACCAGCGT